TTGGCATTTAGCAGCTGAAGGGCCAAACGTTGTTAAAAAAGTTTAATCAGAATCAGACCAGTTTTCTTAGAGGTCTGCTTTTAGGAGGCAAAATGACTCAATCATCTGCACTCATGAATATAGAATGAAGAATGACAGCTGCTGCTGAAAGTATGCTAACGTCTGCTTTGCCTTTATTATGACTGCACTCGACAAAGAGTCAGTCTTCTGCAGTTTTGATAACTTCTAATGAAATTATGTTCAACCAACAAACTATACTGGGTCATGGGAATCAGCCTTTCCTCATCAATCAGTGTTAAGTTAAGAAACACAAAAAAAGCGAGAAGAAAAACAAAAGCTTACGTATTTAAGGGCTTGAAATCCAAAAGTCAAGGTGGAGAAAAAAATCAGAATGAATCCAATTTAATAATTTACTCAAACCTCAGTTTTGTTTGAAATCAATTAATGCAGAAATTTGAATTTAAATTACGTACAATATTAAATTGGTGCAAACAACTGTAAAGTTTTTTATAAATCCAGAAATTAGAATTTTTATCTTGTAATCATACATTTAATTAGTTGCTTAGCAACAGGTCTACTGTTGTCATTGTTTGGAGTAACGATTAAACAAATCAACTTGAGTAATTTGACCAATTTTAAGTTTCCTTAAAGTTCCTAATCCTGCTAAAAACTTGCTGAAACTTGATCCAGATCAAAACCAAGACTAGACTATGTGATCTAATCTGATTTCAGAATCCTGCTTCTCTTGACAAACCTGTTTTTAAAGGTTTGATCCAATCAGATTAACCCAGGAGCCCAAAAACAGAGTTAAAGGTAAGCGAATATTAAAACTACTCCCCAGGTGGAGGGAAGCGCGACTCCAAATTTAAGCTAACGGGGAGTCGACGCCCCTAAATTGAACTCTGAAGAGCTTGTTCCTGGTGAATCACTGTCATGAAGTCAAACTGTGATGGAGGAACAGCTGAACTGTAAAACTGTAAATCCACATTGAAGCAGAACAACCACCAGGTACTCTGCTGCTGGTCGACGCACATACAAGCACAGCGTGTTCTGTTTTCTCATCGTCACACCTTGACCGGTCCTGCCATCTAAAACAAACCGTTTCCTCTGAACAGAAATCCTGTGTTTGGTTTTGCACTTCCTCTTTTAATGTAGAAATATTACAAAAAGAAATATGAGGGTTTGAAATCTTTGCGGTTTGCCTCGTGGCATTTCCTGCCATTATGGTGCAACGTTTGGAAGGCTTTAATCAGCTGAAGCAGCCGAGGGGAAGTCAGGGTCAAACTCACAATGCCATTCAGTGTGAAATTATGTCAGCCGGGCTTAAGAGCTCTCGAGAGCGAGGTGATGAGTTGAGCAGCAGACGGGAAACTTTGCAGCAACGTCTAAGTAGGATTCTAAAGCTGGACGGTTACTCGGCTGACATGCACCTGAACTTTTAGAGGCTGTTGTCCCGGTTTCCTAGTTTTTCTGAGGAGTCAGATCTCCGTGCTGCACGGGGCGGCTGCAGCAGCAGGAATTGGGTTTTTATCTGCACACGGATCTGGAGACGGTGATTCAGCCCTAATGAAAGCCGTGTGGTCAAATGAAGCGCCTGTGCCAGCTCATTAGAGGAGAAATCCTGTTCAGCTACTGTTCTGCTTCTCTGTGCCAACTTCTGAAACGAACCCTGACCAGTGAAAACATCTTACAAAACAACAACAACAACAAACTTTTAAAGTAAATAAACGATAATTGGTTCTGTATAATTACGACCTTTTTCCCGTGTGAGTGCATCGACTGAGGAGTGGGTTCGGCCCGGTTTTCTTTCTGGAGGACCGTCGCCACTGTGACTGCAGAAGATGTTTCTGGGTTACATTCGGTGAATTCCAGAGCGGCACTGCGAGTCCAGAAGGACGAGAGCCAAGTCTCAGAGGAGCGCTGATAACTTATTTTGGACATGTGATGTTTCTTATTTGCTGCTCCCACGTTTCCAAACCCTCCCAGAGCAAATCCTGCACAAAGTCTCCCTGTTTTGCAACTCATCAGCAATTAGACTGGTGTCATGCTCTGCTGTCGTGACCCCCCAACACACAACAACAACCGCCTTGAAAGTATTTCCGGCGCTGCTCTTGTGGTTGTTGGTTTCACACACTTGATGTTTGCGTCTGTGGAATGCAGCCAGCTGCCGACGCTGTTGTGTCTCAGGAAAGAAATCCAAGTGGAGCGCTGTTGCTTCCTGCGTGCTGGTCTGTGGTGACTAAGATCCCCCTCGACTTCCTAAAATAACTGCAGTGCAATGAAGATGATGACCTTAGTCAAAACATTTGCACTCTGCGAGATCGAATTAGACGACGACACACTGTGCTGTGAATGCGTAGCCGTGTGAGAAAGAGTTCTCAGATCCATTGTTAGCTGTACGGCGCGTAACATTTATCGGTTTTACAAATTGGGAACAGCCAAAGCTTCGGGCCGAGAAGAGCGAGAATGCAAAAACAGGAGCACCCATTTCCTCGGGCGTTGGCGGCTCTGACAAACGGCCTGGAGGAGGAGGAGGTTGCTGAAGGCCGTGTGCATCTTGTCCAGTTTGTGTAGAAACCAGAAAAAGAGATAGTAATACTGAGAACCCCGACGAGGAACGATATGATCAGCTGTGCAGCTCTACAGATAGTCGGCCAGTCGCTCTCTAGACTCCTCAGATGTGTGAAATTTTGCCGTTTGTGAAGCCCAGAGGGTGAAATCGCTGCAGTACGTGTCCCTGGACTGTTCCTTTAGCATCACGTTGTAAACTGGTCCAACAGCTACACCAGTGTTTACAGGAAGCGCTTCACCCCTTCAAAGTTTAATCAAATAACCAAAGTGTTGGACAACATTTCTTGCAGATTGCATCAAATCAGATTGACACGCTTCGCTGATGATGTAATGTTGCATCAGCGGTTCTGCTGCAGTCGTTCCTCACTCGTTTTGTTTTCCATTTTAAATGATAAGCTGAAATAATATGAAGTCTCATGACAGCATCACAGCATAAATGGAACAAAACTATTGTTTACGAGCTGCAAAAGCTCTTTTTGAAGGATTTTAAGATCATATATCAAACACTAGTTTTACCTCAACTATTTATTTAACTGAAATTTTTGCTATTTGTGATGCTTGTGAGTAATTAACGCAGCACACTGCTGTAAAACAAAGGCTGGAAATTAGAACTGAACTGGAACAAATTACTGGAAAAGTTTCTTTAAACACCAATCTAATGCACGGATTACCATGGAAGTTGGATATTCGGTGCCCAGAGGATAAATCTTTTGAGCTTTTCAGTACTTTCAATGAAGTATCCCAACACCTATGGGATGACCTGGCAGAACCTCTTGTGCATGTTGCTCAGATGATGCGTTCCACTAATGCTCTCTTCCTCTGTTGCCATCGTGAGAATCGACTTTTGTGGTTTTGAGTGAACCTTTCGACATCTGTTGGACGGATGCCAAGAAATCTGATGCAGACGTTCACGTCTCAGTTCACACTAAACTCTGTTGGTCCTTTAA